CTTTGCGATACAATTCGGACATCTGATGATAAAATGTTTTCGGCGATAAGCAACCAAACCGGAGATACGGATTGAGTCCAGTTTGATTCGCCATCAGGGATTGCGGGGTCATTCTGGGTCTCCCGAAACTCGCCACCCAGGCCCGACGTTCCAAATGTCGTTCTAGCCTCGTCAGGGCTTCAGTTTCTCCACCAGGCCACAAAGTCTGTTTCAGTCCGCTCGTGATAAACCCTTTGAAGAAAATAAACAGTCAGCATTGCAAAAAAAGATAGATTTCTTCACATTTTCCACCGTGTCCATTCGAAAAGATGACATTTTCTATTTGATTTCGATCGTTAAAAAGTGAGACGCGGTTGATCAATTCGGTGTTTAAAATGCGTCTAGTTGTCCAAAAGAGATGATACATTCAAAAGCTCAGAATTTCACCTACAGTTGAACCTAGATAACTTAGAATCTCCCGAAGTCAAAATTTGTTTCCAGTCCCTGTCTGAATTCCTTTAAAAACAACGGCAATAAAAACCTCCCTGATTCAAAAGCTTTTCCTTGCTGGAAATTCGAAATAGTAGGTGGAATATCAACAAAATAACAGAATGTTACTTCAGAAAGGGAATACTCCAGAGATTGTTGAAAGGGGTCTAATCTGTCAGGAATTCTGTGAGACTGAGTTCAACCTTGAGTTCCCACAAAGGTTTTCCTGCATCCTTGGGGATTTCCTGAAGAAAATCAATCCTCAGGGACAAAATTTTGCCAAGAAAATGGTTTTAAATACCAANTCCAGTCCCTGTCTGAATTCCTTTAAAAACAACGGCAATAAAAACCTCCCTGATTCAAAAGCTTTTCCTTGCTGGAAATTCGAAATAGTAGGTGGAATATCAACAAAATAACAGAATGTTACTTCAGAAAGGGAATACTCCAGAGATTGTTGAAAGGGGTCTAATCTGTCAGGAATTCTGTGAGACTGAGTTCAACCTTGAGTTCCCACAAAGGTTTTCCTGCATCCTTGGGGATTTCCTGNTGATTCAAAAGCTTTTCCTTGCTGGAAATTCGAAATAGTAGGTGGAATATCAACAAAATAACAGAATGTTACTTCAGAAAGGGAATACTCCAGAGATTGTTGAAAGGGGTCTAATCTGTCAGGAATTCTGTGAGACTGAGTTCAACCTTGAGTTCCCACAAAGGTTTTCCTGCATCCTTGGGGATTTCCTGAAGAAAATCAATCCTCAGGGACAAAATTTTGCCAAGAAAATGGTTTTAAATACCAAATTTGCTCTGTTTTGAAAGTCAGTTGCTTTTGGCAGTCTCACGCAAAAGATGTCAAAATTCTTGTTGAAATCAAATCTTCCTAATCTTTGTTTGTCAAATACTGTATACCAACCTAACACTAGAGTGTCAAGCACCCTGGCTGCAGCCCAGCTGATTGTCTTCTTCATTTTTAAAAAGTGATTCAAGTCTTCAAATTCCAAAGACAATCTTTTAGTTCCAAACATTCCTCTCAAACCTCCACAACTCACATTTTCTGAGGTCTTGATGCTATTTTCTTTGACACAGGGAATAAAACAGCAATAAAAACGTAAGGATGTGTTTTGAATGGAAGTGAGAGACTAATTGGGCAAATAAACCCTTGCATCCTCATTTCAGCATCCCTTCAACTCATTTCAGAGGCAATTTAAGGCCTAGAATACCACCAATTATGATTTCCTTTAATTTTCTCTTTTCTTTCCTTCAACACAAATGCTTGTTTCCCCAACTCGAACTTTTTTGCTGGTCCCTCGAAATTCGATTGTATTTGATATCTTCCCAAGACTAAGGATAACAGTCGTTCAAAGCCTTTCATAGCAGGGACTCATATAAATTCACAGCGTTTCATCACTCACTGACATTGACACAACAAAGCTAGCATTTTCTTTAGTTCATTTTTACAGGGAAGACTCGATGAAATCGTGAAACAAACCGCCGCGGTATTTTGGATCCGCCATCAAACTTTTTTGAAGTTCGAAGGTCTATGAGTTATCTTATAATAAATGCCCGGTATTTGCATGACAAAAAAATCGATCTCAAGTTACCCAGTTCTTCCAGCGTAGGAATGCCGTATTTGTCATCGTGATCTTCGTCAATAGGCGAAACAGATTTCGGACAGTGTCTATCAAGGTATTCTTGCGTCACTGTACCCGCAGGCGGATGAGGTGGGTCCATTTGGGACAAAACCGAATGAAATTGACGATATGTCATCGGGGCTTGACCGCCATTCTTATCAATAATCCTGCAAACACACACAAAAAAAGAAGAATGCATAAACACATTTATGACACTATAGCTTCTCTTTTGAACACACTTTTGCAGTTTATACAAAGTATGGGATACTTTGCAGGACACCGAAATATGCATCTCTTTGCAGATGGTCTTGATTTTCTGGTCACGAACACGCCCGAACGGCTCTGGGTCCTCTTCAAACGTGAGCTTGTTGATCCTCCATTCCCGAAAAACTTTAGGAAAAACATTTGCCGGCTGTTTGAAGAGATTAATCAAAACGAGTGCGTATCAGATATATGAGAAGGATTACAATCAAATAGAATTTCACGTGCGAGGCAAACTCGACTTTCGTCTCAAACTAAAGAAATAAGAAGTGGACCGGAGTGATTCAAAAAGCTTCAGAATGACGATAATGCATGTTTATTCTTGGGTATTGCTCAATAAGCCGGGTCACCTCGATTACGGATCGCAAAAACAACTCTCACGTGAATTACGAGCATCAGTTACAGCTCATTCACCAATCATTTACTCGGAAAAAAGTTATGAGATGAACGTACTTGTCCCCGAATGACGAACAATCTTGAATTGAAACGACGCAACGTTCTATCCAGATCTTCCAGGCTTTGCAAAAGAAATCTCCACTTATTGACTCCAACATTGGAAGCCCCGGCAAACCATGGATCCAACACATAAACGCATCTCCACGTTGAACAGTTCCGAAGTCCAGAGCGTAGGCTGGGATTATCGTGAAATCTCAGACCTCTTCGGAACCAATGAACAACATTCGGCGATCCCTGGAGGAACGCCAAACATTATTTCAAGCATGCAACACGCCACTTGAATCGATAATAAATACAGTAACCACACCCAGTCGAGTTAACGATCGTGTGTCTATCACGATTTTAATAGCGGTGCTACGACTAGGTAATATATCTGAGAATACTTTCAACAGAAATGCGGTCTTTCAAATTTGCGCAGTTATGTTTGAAATACAGGCTTCAGTTTATGGGAGTGACCATCAGTTTAATTGCTCAAAAGGCTCCGTACTGCATGTAGTCTTGAATTAATGAGCATTTCAAGCGTCTACTCAGTTTAAGGCCCCGTATTTTCGTCAGGAAGCACACGTAAAAGATCGCACAGATTCGTACTAATTGATCTTAAAATGCTTTTTTTCTTCTCTTGAATGTATTTGGCAGATACGTGTACTTTGAAAATGTATCTAAGAAGCCATTAAGTGCAAGGAACATCCAAATTTGCCTAGGCCACCTGTTTTTTGGGAAGTGCGAATGTTTCTTCAGCATAAAGCAGTGATCTATCACCTGGTAGGCGCACGATCCGCAGGCATCGCTCACGATAGACGGCGACAAAATAGAAGGGTTGAAATTCAGCTCCTGAAGTTCACTGCCACGTGAAGAGTTGTGATAATGCTTAGAAGATCTTCTGGAAGTACTGGCGAGACGTCGATCACGCCTTCTAGTTCGGGAGTGATCTGCCGCATCACCGCGGATCCGATTGGAGACAGTATTTGCATTTTCATGACGCAATCTTTGCTGATAATTGATGTTGTGAGTTATGTGCAGATTACCGGCACTCAAGGATGCATGACGTGCGTTGTTTTGACTTTGAGCGAGGCCACAGTGAGCGTGTGTGGTCGAGACTGAAGGACGAAAATGATCCATATTTTCGCGTCACACAGCTGCATGGCCTCAACATTCACGAGTTTCACTATCCATCGCGCATTCGAATGAATTCATAGAGTTGCTGCACTCAGAAAGCGGACAACGCGAACTGTCCACGATATAACGCACAGGTTCCGACGCTGACTATGACTAGTTCTGAAAACTAAGAGGCATGCTTTCAAAACTGGTCGACGAGAAAACGTGGTGCAACAACTGCATGCAGAAGTTTGCCATCTTTAATGAACAGAATTTATCACGCTAGAAAGGCACTGAAAAACACCACTTCAATAAGTGCCACCGTTTAATCGATTCCACCGTCATTCATGATTGCCTCGTTCCAAATATCTGCAGTGGATGCAATGGAATATGGAAACTCTTCGCTCTTCACACTCAAAACAATGATAGGCAAATCACTACGGAATGTTGCTAGCTGACGAACCTATTCAACTTGTGATTGCGATAGGTTAATGAATGACTGATCCGACAATTGTACGCAATTTAGACTGTTAGGAGATATGGAATTACACAGCCCCGGAAATTTCGGTCACATTCACACCCCAATTCACTCATTCACAACTGGCAGGTCCACTGACCTGCGGGGTGGACTTCAATCAGCAGCCTCTTCCGCATGGCCCGCTTCCGCCATGTGTTGGAATAAGAATGTCAAACGCTAGCACAGAAACGCCGGTGTGCACTTTTTTTTCCTTGGGAAACGTTGGATCTACAGTATTTAAAATGCGAAAATTTTATGCACAAACAATTAAAGAAGCTGGTGCTTATCTAGAATCTAAGACAGATCAGTTATTCTTCTAATCTTTCACATAATTTGATGGAAATTCGTGATTTAAAGTGGAAATTATCAGGAATTGTGTGGGATACAGTAAAACAATTCCCGTTTTTCAGTTGGTCTATAAAAGTGAATAATCCTGAATAATTTTCATTCTCGAAAAATGTAGGCCCAAAGTTGGAAATTTGAAAAGCTCACCAGAAAAAGTTGAAATGTGTGATGGAAATCCATATAACTATTCCAATTTTTTTCAAAAGTAGGACATTCCGAAATCTGAAAATGTTTATGCAGTACAGTATTTCAATTTTCCAACCATCTCAACTTTTTAATGAATACAGACATGCCTTGTTATTCATGCCTGTGTTTCAGAGTGGGAATCGTTGGAACAATCCAACAATTCTCAAATAATTTTCAACATTGTTACATGGAGAAGAGTGTTCAAAGGGATCAGTATATCTATCTCATGTACAGTATCTACATTTGGCCACAATTTGGGGGAATAATGTCGTCGCGAATTAAACTTTTCGCGGAATATCGTGGTCAGGAATAACTTTTCTTTGTGTATTTCCAGAGATGTTGGGACTTGGGGAATTTTTGCTTTAGAGGTTGGTGGTCCAGTTGTGAAGTTAACTGCGGGAAGAATTTTTTAGGAGTTTGTTCCAGGATAGGCTTGAGGACGGTAATCCGGTTTTGGAATTACGACGTTATTCCACCACCCCTTTTGCCTGTTCCTGATATGACCTTGATAAAGACCTGTATTGGTGCGTCACCTACACCCAAAGGAAAAAGCTCAGGATAGGAGGAGCAGATGTCGTCAACCGTTCTCTCTATTCCTGTGCTCAGTGAAGATGACGCTAATGTCGAGTCTCCCCGTTTTCTCAGCCCGCAGGCACCGGACAGATGGCGTCGGCCTGCAACCAGAAAAAAAGGAGAAAGGCATTCGCCCGCGGGTGCGCACATCTTATGCAACGAGGTAAGGCGAAACTTGTGTACCGCGTGCATCGTTCGTACGTGATTCGCAAGATAACCTGCGCCAAGGGCTCCTTCGNATCTACAGTATTTAAAATGCGAAAATTTTATGCACAAACAATTAAAGAAGCTGGTGCTTATCTAGAATCTAAGACAGATCAGTTATTCTTCTAATCTTTCACATAATTTGATGGAAATTCGTGATTTAAAGTGGAAATTATCAGGAATTGTGTGGGATACAGTAAAACAATTTCCGTTTTTCAGTTGGTCTATAAAAGTGAGTAAACCTGAATAATTTTCATTCTCGAAAAATGTAGGCCCAAAGTTGGAAATTTGAAAAGCTCACCAGAAAAATTTGAAATGTGTGATGGAAATCCATGTAACTATTCCAATTTTTTCAAAAGTAGGACATTCCGAAATCTGAAAATGTTTATGCAGTAGGATTATTTCAATTTTCCAACCATCTCAACTTTTTAATGAATACAGACATGCCTTGTTATTCATGCCTGTGTTTCAGAGTGGGAATCGTTGGAACAACCCAACAATTCTCAAATAATTTTCAATATTGTTACATGGAGAACAGTGTTCAAGGGAGTATCTATCTCATGTATCTACATTTGGCCACAATTTGCGTGAATAATCTCGTCGCGAATTAAACTTGTCGCAGAATATCGTGGTCAGGAATAACTTTTCTTTGTGTATTACCAGAGATGTTGGGACTTGAGGAATTTTTGCTGTAGAGGTTGGTGGTCCAGTTGTGAAGTTACCTGCGGGAATAATTTTTTTAGGAGTTTGTTCCAGGATAGGCTTGACGACGGTAATCCGGTTTTGGAATTACAGTACGATGTTATTCCACCACCCCTTTTGCCTGTTCCTAATAAGACCTTGATGAATATTCAAGACCTGTATTGGCGCGTCACCTACACCCAAAGGAATAAGCTCAGGATAGGAGGAGCAGATGTCGTCAAGCTTTCTCTCTATTCCTGTGCTCAGTGAAGATGACGCTAATGTCGAGTCTCCCCGTTTTCTCAGCCCGCAGGCACCGGACAGGTGGCGTCGGCCTGCAACCAGAAAAAAAAGGAGAAAGGCATTCGCCCGCGGGTGCGCACATCTTATGCAACGAGGTAAGGCGAAACTTGTGTACCGCGTGCATCGTTCGTACGTGATTCGCAAGATAACCTGCGCCAAGGGCTCCTTCGTCTGCCGAGGGAATCTCCTCCTCCTCCCTTGTGACCCCAAAACAGGAAGTAAAAAATCTAAAAATAAAGAGACCAGAAAAATTCCAACCAAGTGCTGCAGTGCTCTGCTGTACGCTGCGTGCCCGCATCTATTCCATACACACACATATACGAGTACATACACATGCAGGTTCCCAGAAATCGCCTTGTGATGTGTAACGCGCGTTGTTCGCGTCGTTCGTTAATACAGAAAGTGACGCGCGTTATTTGTGAGACACAAGGCTTGCTTGCGCATCCATCCATCCAACCGTCCGTCCATCATCCATCCCTCCACCCATCCGTGATTCCTGTGTAGTCCCTTCCATCCATCCATCCGTGTCGGTGTCGCAGTCAAACAACGTCGTGAACCGAAGTCAAAGCCGGTTCCCTTTGTGTTGGGACTCCCCATTAGCCAGTGCAAATGAAATCGTTATAAGAACGTGGCTTTCGCAAGTCGGTTGAGCTGGTCCGGTCCGGTCTGGTCCACCTTCGGAATCGCCGGAGAGCGACGATGAGAGCAAGAAAGAGACAGAGGTCAACTGCTTCCGCATCTCCGTCTTTCATGTCAAGTACGCTAGCTCTGGTATTATACAAGTATATACTGTACTATACATGTCGTTGATTTTTACCGCACAGATTCTCAAATTGCGAAATCATGCGGTGTACAGATTAAATAAAAAATCCCATGACGAATAATTCGTTTCTGCGAAAATTCTGAAAGAATGTCCATATATGATGCAGACAGGAACATTCATCAGTGACGTCATGTGATGAATACAGTACTAAGAAAAAATTTTGACTTTCAAATACTGTACATTTTCTAGACCAATTTCAAAAATAATTTTTGCCAGCTTTCCCACAGTTCTTCGTATGATTTTTCTCAAAAATTTTCTCCTACGTTGATGTCGTAGACGGGAGGCAATTTTAAATCATTAAATCCAGCAATTAAAGAAGCGTCCAAGAAGTTCACTCAAATTATAAATCACAGAATTCTTCAAAGAGAAAACTCATTAAGAGAATGTTTTCTTTTGCCCTAGGGGTGTTCGTTTTTGTGCCAAACTTTTTGCTGGATCCTAATGCAAAGCTTTGCCAGTTTTTTTCCAATTCTGTGAAATATGCAAATATAAAAAAATACAGTGACTGATGTAAGGAATGACGCGTACAATTTTTAAAAATAAATAATACTGTATAGTATTTTACAAGCTTCAGTTTTAAATTATATCTTGTGATGGTCTGTAGAAGTTTGTGAGAAGTATAGACTGTATTCTAGGAGTTCATAATGCAAAAGTACAATTTATCATGTGAGAAATTTAGTACAGTACAGTACACAATTTCAAATTTATAATCTTGTACTGTACATTTCATACGTTTTACTTTTAAATTGCATCTTAGTGAGCTTCTGTGGACTTCTGTTTAAACTACATCAGTGAGACCCTCACATGCGGACACCTCAACATGGGGACAATTTGACATAGGGACATTTATTTTTCAATAAACAAATCATAAAAAGGCCCAAAATACAGACACTGCCTCAACATGAGGACATTTCATGATGAAAATGTCAATAAATTTTAGGAAAATTGACTTTTATTAGGCTTAATTGCAAGAAACAGATATTTCCAACTCCGAGATCAATGCAAGAAAATTTCTTTGGTACATTTCCCATCACTTTCCCATCCATTCAGGTAATTTAAGAACATTAACTATAGCACAGACAAACTTCCTTCTCTCTTTGTGACTTGGATGTTACTTTTACAGATGCCAACATTTCAATGAACTGTTCAGTGGTATACTATTCAATGCTCCAAATGTTCTTATTGGGTTGAAAAGATTTTCACTTAATCAAATTCAAGTGGCAAACAAAAGAAAAAGTTTCATGGAATTTTGAAGAATATTTCTTCCATTAAACCCCAATTAAAAATTATATAATGTGTGTAAAATTTTAAAAGTTGAACAGACTTTCTTTTTTAATCTAAATTATTTAATGAAAAAACTGGTCCTTTTGATGGAGCAATAATATCGAATTCTTTAATCTTTATAATTATTACTGAATACAGTGAGACCCCCACATGCGGACGCCATGACCTGCAGATAATTTGACTTAGGGGCACTTATTTTCCCAGAAAAATTAATAAAAATTAATTAATAAACATGAGGACACTGACTCAAAATAGGGACATTTTGTGATAAAA